CCACTTGAGCCACAGCACCACTTCTGGTTTTCTGGTGGTTTATTGGAGATAAGAGTCTTAGGGACTTTCCTGCCTGGGCTGACTTTGACCTGTGATCCTCAGATCTCAGCCACCTTAGTAGCTAGGATTACAGGCAAGAGCCACTGGTGCCCAGCTTATGTTAATTTGAAGACAGGTTTGCTGTGTAGTACAAGTTGTTTTGTTTTGTTTTGTTTTTTGTCGGTGATGGGGCTTGAACTCTGGATCTGGGCTCTTCAGCTCAAGGCAAGTGCTCTACCACTTGAGCCATAGTGCCACTTCTGGTTTTCTGGTGGTTTATTGGAGATAAGAGTCTCACAGACTTTGTTGCCCAGGCTAGCTTTGAACCATGATCCTCAGATCTGAGCCTCCTGAGTAGCTAGGATTACAAGCATGAGCCACCAGATCCTGGCAAAGTTTTTCTTAACTTGATATATAGCATAGGCTATCTTGTAATCTTGCTTCAAACTCCCATAATCATGGATTTTAGGTATTTATTTCCATGCCTGTCAACATTATCATCATCATCATCATCATCATCATCATCATCATCATGGTCATCATCATTATTATCTGAATCTTGGACTTGAGCTCAGGATCTGACACTGATTTTTGGCTGGATTTTACCATGTGAGCCATGCCTCCAATCCCACTATTCTTAAATGTAAAGTTTATTGATATTGCATATATTATATTGTTGTGCAACCTGCTCTTCCATAATGTTTTTCTATAATATTTTTCTTCTTCCTTGTATGAAGCTGTATATATTCATGAAATATGCAGTTCCCATTCTACCCCAGTCTCTTGCGATCATCATTCTACTTTTTTGTCTCTATGCATTTGTTGACCCTGGGAACCTCAGTACAGGAAATTCTACCATGGCTGTTCTTTGTGTGTGTGAGAGAGGGTGGGAGGGCAGGGGTGAGTGAGAGAGGGAAAGTGGGGATAGGGGAGAAGAGTGAGGGGTCATGTGTGCCAGTCTTGGCATTTGATCTTAGGGACTTTCCTCAAGGCTAGCATGCTACCACTTCAACAACAACTCTACATATATCTTTTTTAGTAGTTAATTGGAGGTAAGAGTCTCAGAGACTCTGGTACCCAGACCGCCTCCAAATCACAATCCTCAAATCTCAGCCAGGAATCTGGTTTGAAGCACTGGCACGCAACTTATCCTAGCTGTCCTTTTGTGACTTGTGTGTTTTTTTTTAGCTAATTGTGTTCATGATTCATCAATGCTATAGCATGTATTAGAATTTCATTTCTTTTAAAAAAATCTACCTATTGGTGGATGAGTGGTTTGCTTCTGTCTTTGGTTATTATAATTGCTATTAAATGATTCTCCCAATACCTGTTCAAACCCCTGCTTTCTCTTTGGTTGGATACAAAGCTAGAACTGCTAAACCATTCCTGCTTACTTCTATATTTAGTTCTTGTTAGCGTCTTTGACCATTTTTCACTCCTGCCAGAAATCCACCAAATTTCATACTTTTCCACATCTCTGTCATAGTTTTGGAGTTTTTATTTTTAATGTGTCCATAGCCCTGAAGTAAACTAGGCATTTCATTGTGATTTTTATTTGAAAGTTTCTTTTGTTACTACTAATATTGAACACCTTTTAATTAACCATTTATCTATATTACTGTGGGAAGGTCTCTTTCCCATATTAAAATCCATTTTCATTTTTTTTGTTCCCCACCAGTCCTGGGGCTTGAATTCAGGGCATGAGCACTATATCTGAGCTTTTTTTTGCTCAAGCCTAGCATTCTACCACCTGAAACACAGCACCACTTCTTTTCTGTTTATGTGGTACTGAGGAATTGAACCCAGGGTTAACCATGAAGCCACATTCCCAGCCCTTTATTTGTTTTTGAGTTACAGGATTTTATTTTATAATCTTCTAAATGAATTTTGTTTATTAATCTATTACGAGATATAAGCAAATATTTTCTCAAATTTCATGAATGCATTTGTCATTGGGCCTTTAATGTACCATATTTCAATTGTATATATTTGACCTTGTCTGGTTTTTGTACTATGCAATTTTGGTGTTATATCCAAGAAATAATTGTCAAATTTAATGAAACTCTTTCTCCTTCATACTGTTTTTTTTGTTTTTTGGGTTTTTTGTTGATCGTTGGGGCTGAACTCTAGGCCTGGGCACTGTCCCTCAGCTCTTCAGCTCAAGGCTAGTGCTCTACCACTTGAGCCACAGTGCCACTTCTGGCTTTTTTCTGCTTATGTGGTGCCGAGGAATCAAACCCAGAGCCTCATGCATGCGAAGCAAGCACTCTACCACTTCCCAGCCAGTCATCATTAATTTAATACTACAATAAAACAGGATTATTATTAGTGGTTTATGTAGAAATTTATATCCAACCTAACCTACAATAGTCCATGTTTCAAAGAAACTGCTGTCTTTCATCTCTAATAATTTTAACTGTTTTCTTCTGATAGGTTTTCTTTAGTGAATGAATTGGCAAGTCTAGTCCATCTCCAAGGAGGAATTTATTTTCTGCTCAAAGGTGGAAAAATTGAGTTTGTTGCCACCATGAATAAAAAATAAATGGCATTATTACAATTCATTGTGCTCTGGACCCATCCTAATTTCTCTGCAAGGTTTTTGAATCATAGATTATTAGAAATGTGTATGTAATTATGATGTATTTGCAAATTATGGTTCTCCTTGTTGATTTGTACTTCTCAGGGAATGTATTCACAACATTTTGCCAAGGGATTTATTTTCACTTTTAGTGTGTCTTAGTAAATGTAACACACAATGCTTGATGAACAACAGTGACATCAAGATAATGTTATCTATGTGTGTGTTCCTTTTTTTGGGGGGGGGGTCCATTTGTGGGCCTGAACTCTGGGCCTCTTCAGCTCAAGGCTAGTGCTCTACCACCTGAGCCACAGTGTGACTTCCGGCTTTTTTCTTTTTGCTTATGTGGTGCTGAAGAATCGAACCCAGAACCTTAAGCATGCAAGGCAAGTGCTCTACCACTGAGCCACCTTCCCAGCCCTATGTGTGTGTGTGTTCCTGCTGTTGGTTTTTGTTTAGTTGTTCTATTGGTAA